TTGATTCACGCTAAATAGCTTTGGAATGTTTGATTTCTGTAAATAGAGAAAGAACATCTGTTTTTTCCGAGGTATAGTTCTGTTAGAGGCCGATGTAGCAACACGATTAGACTTTGATTATACTTAAAGTCAGCCGGTGATTGGTAACTCAGAGGAGCAAAGCGGTTAATAACCCTAGTACTTTCGCCTAAAAATTTCTATTTTATCAGGTTCTAGAACGAATTCACTGCTTCGAAGGTCGCTAAACGTAAACATGAAATGAAACCTTGGTTACCGTAAGTCAACGCGTGATAATTCTAGGAAAGTAGGTCTTGCAAACAATCCCAAAAGTTGAAGATTCATTCTCTACTGGGAGCCGTGTGTTCAATTTTCTAAAGAAAAAAATGGAAGCCATCAGACAAAAATTGAATGAGGCAGATGACATCGCCGAGGTTATCGATTCAATGCAGAATTTAAGAGAGTGTCTCTGTAAGAGCGGTCCGGTCGATTTTGCTTGAGACACGGATTTCGCTCGTTTCTTGTGTGTTGTAAGACATTCATGTACCTATACTAAAACCACAATCAGTTTGATCGGATCTCTTTATTTTTCAGAGTTTTACGGAAATTAAATTTCACTCGAGCGAAGGCTTGTCGTCACACTTTTCAAGACTTTAATTTCATACAACTTTGAGGACAATTTACAAAAAACTACGGAACTCAACAAAAAACAAATACCACAGCCATGTAAATTAACTCTATCTTATCTATCGAGGCGGCTTTCGTAAACATCACGTGTCAATCAAGGAAACAGGAAGACTTGAATGACACCTTATCGGTTCGCCTAAATCACACACGCCAAAACCGATCAAATTCAAGGTAAATTTTTGAAAAAGTGAGGCGTTCTTAACTAATCCAACTAACATAGCTAGGAAGAAGGTGCCATAGAAAAGGTAACTACAGAAAAAAACTTTGCGGCCCGACCATTACGAGAACTCTATAACTCCATGTACCTACCTTATTTTCGGCAATCTCCAAGTTTGGCCGCCATTTTGAGGGACTTGTCAACACGAAGCGTAACCGATATAAATCAAGCAGGTAGATCTAAAACCGTCAGAAATACATACGAAAGCAATTCAAATGAACTTTACTTTCAATTCAGACGGAAAAATTTGAAATTGTTTGTTAAACTTACCATCCCCATGCGACCATTTCTTTCAACAATTCAACCACTACAACTAGTGTTCGAATTCCCCTCGTCGATTCCACCGCAAGAAATAACCTGTGCCACCCAAGCTTCGACTCGAATGTGAAGTACGAATCAAATAACATAACTGCTTCATCTTCGCGGCAATATCACGCTAGTATTTTGATTTTCCGATCGACAAGAACGGTGATCAAGAATCGATCGGTTTGTTTACCTCATAAACGTGACCGCTGACCAGCCGCTAAGTGAAAACAGCATAGCGCGGGGTGGGGTGGGTGGCTGGCTTATCGTCATAAGATATTCGAATACATGCTCAAAAAGCTCTAGGACTATCGGTCTAAACAGTGAAGGCATGCTTTGTGGTACAGACAACTTTTATTTTTTTTTTTTTATAACTTTCTCCTTTAAATTAGAACTGGTATTAATTAGAATTATTAAATAGAGTTATCAATGTATTTTTAACCGGGTACCTATATAACCTTTTTGCTTGTCATCAGTGGTATAAAATAAGGTGTCTTTTCCACCAGAACTTTTATTTATGCCTCATTGCACGGAATGAACACTATACTTAGAATGTTTGCTCTAAGTAATTTTTTCTGTTCCCAAGAATGTATGCAAAGTGATAGAGATTTGATTCATTCCGCTGACACGTTCTTTTAAGTTATGACGCGTGCAGGTTCTAGCAAAAGTCGCACGTGCAACACACCGGAATTGAAAATTCGTCGTAAAATCGCACGAACCTTAGAATGATTGTAGGCAACTTTGACTTCTGGCGAGATTAATTGGATGGTTCAAAGGACCCCCTGAGATTTTTTTCAGGACTGTAACTGAGATTTGTTAATAACTATGATAATCGTCATCATTAGCGGACGGTGCTTTTTGCCCATTGTTGTCATCATTATCGTTATCACGCCGGAAGAAGTATAAAGCCGGCATGTCGCCATACCTAGCTACACAGAAAATTGTTGACTCTTTTGCTCCCCTTGGATCCTGGAAACTGTTACTATTAAGACGATCAACAAGAAAGCCTTTATAATTATTGAAACTTTTGATTAACAGAATGTAAGAAAAAATCGGTGGGGAGAGTTATTCGCGTATCTTATAACCTGAACGATAGTTTTAAATCAAACAAATAACACTTAATTCAATTTACCTTAGTTGCCTTGTGTTTAAAAGTGGCGTTTCTGGGGACCGTAGATTCTTCTCTGATTCTTCTTGTCTCAGCCAAGACTCACTATCATCAACTTTTTTCTTGTGCTTCTTATGGCATGGGACATAGAGAGCTGAGGTAAGCGATTGCATATTTCTCAGTTAAAGTAAAGCCCAGTAGCATCAATCAGGAATTAAAAACAGACATGCACTGTTTACTTTTATTATTCTTAATCAAATAAGGGGTGTTTTAGTCTGCAAATTTAATCATATTGGTTAATGAGAATCATACAAACTGAGGAAAACTGACCGCAAATAATTGTGAACCGTACGCATGAGTAAGTATATTGCGTTGTCAGGTGATTTGATCTTCTACAAAAACATTATTGATTATCAACCGAGCAACATTGTACATATTTCCATCTGTAATAAAAAGCACTTACACATAGATCTATTTTTTTCAACGTGATGTGTACTTAAGTACCCTTCATCTGATAAAGAATTTCTTCTCTTTTCGAGCAGATATGTCACGTGACAAAAATAGATAACAGAAAATGTTACTGAAGACTATCTGATTCAACTGGAATAATAACTCCAAACAGCTTTTTAATGTCCTGAGACATGTGCAAGGGAATTACATCTCTGCCTTGGATACGCTTCCTGACACCATCATGATCAGGATACTGAAAAACTTCCCCAAAACTTCCCCAAAGTGTGGCGATGCCTATAGCAAATCCACATTTTTTTATTTATCCTCCTGAGCGAGGTGAAATACGCCAATCCTTGCCAAGATTAGCTCATTTTCACCTAAAAACCTCTTTAGACAGGTGGTAGCTTATCAAATGATGTTTTACTTCGTCATTGCATTCAGACAGTCGTACCAAACCACTTAAGCCACACGATGAACCAAAGTTTTTCCATCTTTGCTATTCAAAAAGCAGTCCTGAGACATAATGAACGTCTCGCTAATAAACGACTTCTTCCTGTACTTGTAATTGTTTCCAACGCGATACAAATTCGGGAGATCTAAAGGAACTCACTATAACTTTGTTCATTCGATACGATTTCAATTTCCGCTTCAAAAGAGAAGCCTACTGTAAGTGGTCAGTGGTTACGCTCGTGAGGTAAAGAAGGGGTTTGTGACTTTCTCACTCAATGGAAAGACTCGCGTCACTCTTATGAAATGGTTGAACGGAATACAGACTTCGAGCGGTCTCTTATTTTTCTTAAAGATAGTGAGGTCACGCGTATCCTGTGAGCATGGTGAAGCCGCGAGACGCGAGACTCGTATCTCGCGTCTTCGCCGCTCCACGCTCTCAGAGTTGGGCAAAGGCAAGACACGTTATTTCCGGTGCGATACAAGAGGTTCAATGGTTATCTCGATTATCTAAACACATTTATTTAGGTGGTAAAGATTTGTTTTTAAATCTATGAACTGATGCTAGTCCTATTTGGAACGAAATGTATTTTAAATAAAAAAGAATACTAAGTAAAACAAAAGTTGTCTGCAACACGAAGCATGCCTTCGCATTAAGACTGAGAATCCTAATGTTTATCATGATACTTTAATGCATATGTTCGAATGTTCCCGAAAATCTTCTGATAATCTGCCCGCACCCACCCCTCACCCCGCCCCTCGCCACTGAACCGTACTTTTTTCACTCAGCAGCTGGTCAGCGGTCACGTTTATGAGGTAAACAAAACGATCGATTCTTGATCACCGTTCTTGTCGATCGGAAAATCAAAATACCAGCGTGATATTGCCGGGAAGATGAAGCAGTTATGTTATTTGATTCGTACTTCACATTCGAGTCGAAGCTTGGGTGGCACAGGTTATTTCTTGCGGTAGAATCGACGAGGGGAATTCAGAAAGTTGTAGTGGTTGAATTGTTGGAATAAATGGTCGCATGGGGATGGTAAGTTCAGATAGTAAGATAGTAAGAACAATTTCAAATTTTGCCGCTTGAATTGAAAGTAGAGTTCATTTGAATTGCTTTCGTATATATTTCTGACCGTTTTAGATTTACCTGCTTGATTTATATCGGTTACGCTTCATGTTGACAAGTCCCTCAAAATGGCGGCCAAACTTGGAGATTGCCGAAAATGAGGTAAGTTCACGGAGTTATAAAGTTCTCGTAAAGGTCGGGCCGCAAAGTTTTTTTCTGTGGCTATCTTTTCTATGGCACCTACTTGCTAGCTATGTTAGTTGGATCAGTTAAGAACGCCTCACTTTTTCAAAACTTCACCATGAATTTGATCGGTTTTGGCGTGTTTGATTTAGGCGAACCGATAAGGTGTCCTTCAAGTCTTCCTGTTTCCTTGATTGACACGTGATGTTTACGAAAGTCGCTTCGATAGATAGGATAGAGTTAATACACATGGCTGTGGTATTTGTTTTTTGCTAATTTCCGTAGTTTTTTGTAAATTGTCCTCCAAAGTTGTATGAAATTAAAGTCTTGAAAAGTGTCACGACAAGCCTTCGCTCGAGTGAAATTTAATTTCCGTAAAACTCTGAAAAATAAAGAGATCCGATCAAACTGATTGTGGTTTTAGTATAGGTACATGAATGTCTTACAACACACAAGAAACAAGCGAAATCCGTGTCTCAAGCAAAATCGACCGGACCGCTCTTACAGAGACACTCTCTTAAGCATTCTAATTAAAGGATGGAAAAACATCGAGGACATGAAAGAAAGGATGCTCACTCATCTGAGCTCTCAAAATGAGGTAAGACTGTCAGGGCAATTATTTAATTTTACAAACTTAAACTTGGCTGCAAGTATCCTTTAATGCTATTCCTTTCATATGTGCCTTTCGAAAGCGATTCGATGAATGTTTATACTAAACTTATCATCACATCGCAGTAGCTTATTGACGTGGCGTCGTAAAACGAATGGCTCAGAATCTATGAGGAATTCATGTATCATGTATAGTTACTTTCTAAGACACCTTGCAGTGACAGAGTTTTATTTTTCTTGCGCGATTAAAACTACTGCAAAGAATTCAAAGAAACAAAGAAACGCAACTTGATCCTTAAATTCAGCTCTATAATTTCATGTCTGTTCGGGTACTGATCAGTGGATCAATCGACCCAACATAATACAGAAGAATAGCTGCAGATCGCTCGCTTGTAAATTTGTATAATATATATATTAATTCTGAGCCTCAATCTGGCTCTGAACTTTTTACTCGGAAACATCTAAAGACCACTATTCTCTTTGTTGTTTTTGTTTCATGTCATGGCTCAATGGTTCGGCCGCTTGCCATTGCTGCAATGTCATTGCCGCCAAAGTAGTCGGGCTTCTGCCTTAAAGAACTTGCTTTTAGCTTTTAAACTCACTGTTACGAGTAATCGAGCGTTTGCACTCTTCCTCGGTCAGTTATCGGTCGAAAGCAGTAACAATTAAACGAAAACTATCAAGCTCGCCATACGAAAAATATGATTAACTCTGGTAATATCATAATAGCATCATGAGGCAAAAAACCTCATAGTCATTTGGCTGACAGCTCACAGAGTGAAATTGAAATTAGCTAGGCTCAGCTTTACATTTTTTTTCCGATCAGTGAATTCACAACAGCAGGCAGACAGACAGATCTCGAACACAAAATGAAGTAATTACCTTACTCCTTTCATGCAATCTCAAAATTTAATTGTAATTCATCTGACTCACGGTGTCTTCCATTTGTTTCTTGCAAGGTTAGTTGAGAATTAAACTGACAATACTGAAACCCTATCTAACATTTTTCTTTTCTACTTGAAAACGATATTACCGATAAATCCAGAAAAAGAAAATAGGTGGCGTTGATGAAATGTCATGTCATTCGGTGGAACTAAGCTGTAGGTGGCAGTGGCAGAAAATGAAAATAATTTCCTCCTGACGCAAACAAACTCTCTTGTTGTAGTGTATGTGAGGTCTGACAGTAATAATTTATGCATCTTAGCCACTGAACATCAGGTGAGTTCTTGCTTGATGGACGTTCAAGCATCTCGTTAACGTTTTTATACTCTGAATTATGAAAGCATAGTTAGTATATGTGGTGAACAGCACTCAATCTTTAACCGAAGGTCGGTGCAGCTGCATTTGGTCAGGAAATACGTTCTTATTTTCCCTGTGGCTTTTTTTGGGTTTATCGTAACAGGCGGGTGCTCGTTTGCCTTGTCTAAGTGTTGTAAACCATGCTTCGATCGCCCTTGTTATATACAGCTACTTACTTGAGCTTGTATTTCTGCACTGACACGGACGGCAGTAAACACTCAGTTCGAGCTGCAAACCCATAAATTTTTCGTTTTTCAGGTGCAAATAGGAATATAGAATGTAACTGATATCCTACCAACTTACACTCGGCGCTGCATTTTTAACAAGCAAAAATTAATTAATTAATAACCGTCAACTAGGATCTATCGAATTCTGAAGAGAGTTTACCTTATGTAGCGAATTGTGAGGCTTTGACCTTTAAAACCGGAAAGATTACGTCGAATAACTCGAGCTCAAGAATATGGGTGAGAGACTTTTGGGCAATTTTATTTTACTTATGGTAAAATTTCAAACAAATATTGATTGTTTAAGCAGGAACCTGAGATTGACGATTTAAGCAATGATCAATTTGCATTTTATTTACGCTTTTGCCTGCACTGGTCTTACCTCACCAAGAATGAGGTTCAACCTTGGTTGGACCTAATTCTTGGTGAGGAACTTTTGCCGTTTTCGGTTGTGAGTACAACATTTACAATTTGTGAATTGAAATATGGAAGAGAGAAAAGGATAAAGATACACTATAAAGAAAAAGGAAAAACTCCGAGATTTTGCAACTAAATTTCAGGACCCTATTCCAGGTTTTAACGCCGAACGGTCAAAAGAAGCACAGGGAGAAAGAACCTGATTACTCTGTTTCCACAAAAGGACAGGCTCGTAGCAAAGGTAGCGGTGTGGCTTCAACTACCTTCTTTTATACTTATGGTCGAATTATAGGCTATGATAAGTGAAGAAAGCTAAGGCATTGCAAAAAGTAGCGTCTACATTAAGAACTATTTCCTGGGCAGCAAAGATTCCAAGTTATGATACAATTCCAGGAAATCTCGATTTCTACCGATGCATTCATTTTAGATCACGTAACTGACTACATAGTAACTAAATATAAATCAAAGGAGAGTTTGTAGAAATTAGTATAAGGGGCGTTTCAAAACTAACGTCACTGAATGGTCTAAACTTTACATTGTTTACGTTTTTGAGGCTAACTTTTTCAACAATGAACTTTGAAATGAAACCTATTTTTGTAGATTATCATAAAGGACACGGGTGGTTTTTTTTCCGTTTTCTTTGCAAACTCAAGGTCTTTTTGTCTGTTTTTCCTATTTGGATAAATAATTCAACTGTATTCTGTTGGTTAGCACACCCTTGACCGCAGTCAAGTGATTATGTTGATATCATTTTAGGCAATTAATTTATCGTATCCTAATAAAGCAGTTGTATAGAGCACATGGCCTGATTCACGCATTACTCTATGGTAGTACATCGAACCTTAGTATACAACACATTTCCTGAGTGTTTTCCCCTAACAATTTCCAGCCACAGAGACCACGTGTAGCCCACAGACTGACTTGCACCAGGGAATAACATTTTAAATCATACGGAAACGTAATGTAAAGACCCCTGCCGGTTTTATGAGAAAAGAAAACCATAGCACAACTAACCAAAACTTACTCTCACCACACATGAGTTTGAGACACAGGGCTCTTAGCAACCCTCCCCTTCCCCCCTTAAATGGATTAGTCTTCTAGGGAAAAACTAGACGGTAGGTGTTTGCAATGTAAATTGAACAAGCTTCCCCGAACCTGATGCTTTCAGATTCAAGAGTCTGTCCACGAGAGGACCAGGTAGGCGTAACACATGCCATCTCACCGATTTCGGGTCCCCGATTTCTTTCAAACTTTCACAGTTTACGAGGGTCACAGTTTATTCAAGAACCCACATCAAATCACTGGGGTAAAAGACTTAAATTGGCTCGAAAAATGCGCTTGCAACTAATTACTCTCACAGCAACAGAATGACGAGGATTTTACTCTTATTTTGTCCAATGTTATTTCAACCTTAAGGAAACGATTTCTTAGAGTCGGGGTAACTTACTATAGCTTCTTCCAATTAATGCTGTATCGAGAAGCTTTGTCGAAATGATACGCAGTAGGTACAGCGCTGTTTCTTAAGATCGCAAGTATTCTCTAGCTCAATTACTCTAGCTCACCCTAAAGTTTAACTCACTGAATAAAGATATCATTAATGACTAACAAAGTTGATTAGGTTAAAACAGAGTGTAACAGTGTAGGATGCCATTACTCGTGTGATGATTTTCATTCAATGATGAGAAATAAAAGGGTTTAATTTCTGGTTAGCTAAATTTCCACGTTTTTTGACTCAAAATCCGCGAGGCTTCTTCTTCATACCACATTTCCCATGATAACATCTTCCCACAGCTTCTGTCGGAAGATAAAGAAATGCATCGCAGTTTGATCCATGGTTGATGGTCAGCTCCCTCCTGAGAGAAATAATGCTTAGCTTAATATTGTGGGGATTGGAACTGTCAATCTTTTCAAAATAGACTTTTCAAATTGTTGCTTGCTAAACCTTTTAACTGTGGACTTTCTGGCAAGGTCAGGATAACCAATACTATCAAAATTGATTATATTGAGATTATGTAATTCCAATCCACTTTTCTTCATCAATAAAGCACTCACTGGGTGTTTTTTACGACAAGAGTCAAATATACTTCCGTAGGAGATCCATAATTTCATTATTTATAAGTCAACATATTGACAAAATTTAACACTTATCGCTGCACTTGTAAATGTTTTGTTTAATAAATAGTGATCTCCTTTGTCGAACGCAAAAAATAACGGAAAAATGATGTCGTTTGCACCATTGCCTTAAGGTGCAGTCACGTGGGTAGTAATAGTTAAAAATCTACCTACGCTTCAGTCGGAAAAGTACAACACTTTGAAGTAATCGAGTTTCCCATCGCTTTTCCCAACATTTAACGTCGCCGTGAAAACGGGATGACCACTAAGAAACATCGCTTTCGTCTATACCAGTACTTGAACTGGAGCTGCGATTACGATATGGGTTACCGCCTCTCAAGAGTCGAATTTGTAAGTTTATACTCCTGACATGAACATCGTTGACTAAATTTTTTTTGGTTGGTGAAGAAGGACTCCCTTGGGGACCAGTGATTATCATTTTAAGTCATTGACTCGAGAAGTGAAGATATTAATAGAAATGGTGAATGACTGTACGTTCATATCTCATTTTATTAAGAAATGCCTATATCTACCGGCTGGCGGTCTATGGGTGAAGTATCTATAGAAAAACTGAAAAGCTGCATAAATGTACCCCTAACTACCTACATATTGAAAAAAACTGCAGGCAAATTCTTAGGCCAGCGAATGCGTTTGTAATTATAGTAATAAGTAATTGTAGTAATTATAAGCCTAACTCAACGTTTCAAGTTTTGTGTATTATGATCTCTAAAAGAGTGATCATCGAAATAACGACGAATTATGTATGAAAACAACATTTAAAATAGCACCGTATCGTAATTAAAAACGAGAGGCAAAGAAAGGAAAGACTGTAATTGATTCAAATATGACAAATTTAAAAGCTAATTAGTTGTTCGGAGAGGCAGTCAAGTAGCCAGCGAATTATAAAATTTAAAATGGTACACACTAAATCTGCATTACACCATGGAAACGAAACAAATGAGCTCAGCGGAAGGGGACTAAGAACTAGCCTGTGTCTGATTATGTTGCTCAGTAGATATTGCACTTCTCGCACGAATGCACACAACAACAATTTGTCTTAAGAATTAAGATGGAATGGTTATAGCTCATTTTGCTTTATCTCAGCCTTATCCTGATTCCTTTGTTCTGCTTTTACCGGTATTTCATCTGCAACACCCTGACGCGAATAAATGAGGATGCATTGGCAGTAAATATTGTCGACAAAGTCGACAACAACACTAAAGATGAGATTCGAGGTATGGAGGCGCCTGATATTTCATGCAAAGGGTTAAAAACGTTGGATGAAACGATAACATGCGCAGAAGCTGCTTCGAAGACATCTCTTAACAAAGCCAGATGGAAGGCCGATCAGGTAAGCGTTTCTTAGACAATTGAAAGCTGTTCCTTGAAACTGCGTTGCACTTATTCATCGTTTAAACAGAATAATCGAAATCTTCCTGTTTAATGGTTTTTTTCGTTCGGTGAAATATCTCTTTTAGCTAGGAAATTGTTATATTTTATGTTCAACCTTTGAATAAAATAGGGCCCACTAAATATTTATGCCTAGAAACACGGAGTTATGATACCATAGTAAAATGTATTCAGTGAGTGTGACTGACATTTCCTTTGGTAAATTTCCCATGTAAATATACCTGGATCAGACAAAGCGCCTACGACATTTAACGTGGTGAGCTTTAATGTTGCTTTGATGCCTTGGTAATCAGAGCCAATCAATGTGCTCCGTTTGACATCAAAACTTGACAGAAAAGAGAAAGTAGTATGCCTTTTGGAATTCCATGCTGGCTAGGTGCTTTTGCCAAAACAAACAACTTTGACGCCGTAAATGTGTTAGAAAATAGCTTTGGAGACCCGAGAAATTTACTGCCACCAGCTATCAAGCGATTCTACGTTTATATTGCTTTTTCATATCCGATCTGTACTCGAAGAAAGTTTCATATCCTTTAATGAAGTTGTGCAGCAATTGCTACTCTGAATCTCTTTTATATCAAGTTTCCCGACAAAAGTAAAGCGTTAAGTTTAACTTATCAGATTGCACGACTAAACTTGAGCGGTTAAGATTCCTAGTTATATACCTAGACTACAATATGATTGTTTAAGAGAAAGTCTAAATACATAGCAAAGCACTCAATGTATGGTCCCTCGGGAAACTAGTTGGGTTTGTTTCCGTGGAGTCCTGATGTTTCCCTCGTCTTCGTCTCTTGGGAAAACAAAACTAACTAGGTTCCTGAGCTATTTCAAGGGAAATACGTGACAAGTTTTCACGTAGCATATCACAAATCGCAGTAAATTAAAACCAGCTGCAAGATGGCAATCTGTAGGAAAGTGTAGTTTTCCGTGGTATCTGAAATCGCCCTTGTTGTTAAATGTTTTGGATAGAATCGACTAGAACTTGCAGAGAGCTCCATGTGTGATTCATGTCTAACTAATTTGTGACTAAGGGTCAACAGGCTTATTCGCTACAGGTGATAAATAAAGAATACTACATTCTGAGACATGGGCACTCGTAGATATGGATTTTCCCTTCGAGTGTTCAACCAGATAACTCACGAGTTAGCGGAGCGAACTAGTGACATCAACTAGATTACGATTACTTATTACTAACTACCTAGAAGAGCCGACATTATTTTAAATGAATGAGACAAACTAGGATTTAAAATCCGCGACGTAAAGTGCGACGTAAGGTGCGTAGGCGATAAGGCTTAAGGTCCAAATACTTTGGTTTTTCTTAACGTAGTTTGGTTTTCTTCTGCTTCTAGGAAATTTGGATCGTCACTGTAAGTGAGCGATACGAGTTTTTTAAGTGTTTTTAGCAACCATAATCCGACCAAAATTTCTACAAACGATCTTGCATTGAGAACGATGAACGCCTTGCCATTCATTTATCAACCCGACAGAGTGGCGTGAAAGTCGAGTGACGTGTCGGGAGCTCATTGGCTATATCAAACACATTAAAATGGTTATGTTAAAACTCGTGCAGTCACGATTTTTCTTAGAGCTGAAATTCCTTGTGTAAATAGATTTAAGAGTTGTGCTTCGTAAATATCATTCGGACGCATACAGTTTCAAAATCAGCAAAATCCTCAAACTTGGCCAGAGCATTGGCCTTATTAACCTATTTCCAAGAATAAATCTTTTCAGTTTGATCAGAACTTTGTTTTACATGAACAGGAACAGTCGGCCAGGTAGGAGTGGGGAGGGAAATACTGCAGGCATTGTCAAATGATGTTCGGAATCAATTCTTATGTGCTTTTCTAGGCTCTTTCTATTCTATCTGAGGCAAAAATTGAAGATGAACGCAAAAGAAACCTACTGCTGGATGAATTTTCCAAAGCTAAAGATTTTTTGAGGCAACTGAATGTGAAACGCTCACTGCCTTTGCTGCAAGTGAATATAACCACAATTTTAGAGGAGATGACGCAACATATCGGCCAACTCAGTCAGAAGGAATACTATATTCTTGTTGCAGGTGAGTGATATTGGAGAATTCAACCAAAACAACCGCCTTAGATTTATTTGCCTGGCCTCTAGGGCCTAATTTCTCAAAGGCCGATTAGCGCAAAACCAGGGTTAAATTTTAATCCAGGTTTCTATATTTCTCTGTTCAAAAGCCGTTTTGGAATAATTTTACCCATTGTTTTTAGCGCATTCAATTATCAAATTGTAGTCAAAAAGAAATAAACTGAGTTTGCTCTTCAAGCTTTCAGATCTGAAATCAAATTTCACACTAACCCTAGGTTATCTTAATCCAGCTTTGAACAACGCGGCCCAGGCTTGTGAAATTCCGCGACTGACAGAGGATTGGCTAATTTAGTATTATCAACTGAGTTGCTAACGTAAATTGGCCTCCTTAAAGAGTTTAAAAGCTGACGTTTCGAGCGTTAGCCCTTCGTCTATCGCTCTGACGGAGGGCAAACGCTCGAAACGTCGGATTTTAAACTCTTTACGGAGGCCAATTTACCTTATTAACTCAGTTGTTATTGTAATTGTGAAGATGCTAGAGGTTGCGGCTTACTCAAATTCTCAGCAACTACAAGGGTGGCGCGGTGCAAGGTGACAATAATGCAAACTCCACTTGGTAGATCTAAACAGATTTAATGACAGATCAAATTTCAAAGGTTTAGATCAATCGGTTGCGTTTGACATGAAGGGTCATGAAGATAGCGTAGATCAAAGATCATTGGCCTCAGTAGCGTTAGCGGTAGAAAGAATAGTAGTAGCTGTAGGTGCAGATCAAGTTGTAGGTTCGGACTGAAATACGATAATTAAAAATAGAATCTAACTTAGGTAAGGCTAAAAAGAAACGCTAGACTATCAAGAGACTTTGAACAACAATAAACTAGCGAACTTCTAGCGTGAAATAAATAGACGTGATAATTCTCATGTCATATAAATTATTATCAAACGAAGGTACAAACAACAGTATAGTACTGAAAAAAGAGTAGCTAAATGAGCATAAAAGAATAACATTTTAAAAAGAAACAAAGAAAATTTGTTAATAAGATAGTTTCACTATAGTACTGTGATAATAACACTTAGTTGACTAAACGAAACATTCTATGACCGAGAAAAGGCTAATGATTCCGTGACTTAATTAACAACAAAGAAAAGACTTACGTACTTTGGTTGACGACGCACGTCCACAAAAAATAGCAAATACACTAGAGATAGCGGTAGCTTGGATCAGATTAGATTATAGGCTATGGTACGTAAAGAAGGCTAAGGCGTTGCAAATAATTTAGCCGTCAAAATAAGAACTATTTCCTGGGCAGCAAAGATTCCAAAGTTATGATACAATTCCAGGAAATCTCGATTTCTACGGACGCGTTCATGTTAGATCACGTACTTGACTACATAATAACTAAATATAAATCAAAAGGAAGTTTACAGGAAATTATTAAAAACAAGCGGCGTTTTAAAACAAACAAATAATGCTAAATTACCCTGTTATATTCTTTACCGGCGCAGCACCATAGTTTCTTTAGAAACTTTCTCCCTTTGACAGAGGATTGGCCCATTTCAGAGAGGTTTATAGTATTGCTTCATCTTGGTTAGTAGGAAACTAGTATACCACGCTCGGCGGAGGGCACCAAGGATACTAGGCCTGTCCTGTTTCTCCCTTCTTTAATGTAAAGACTTTAACAGGACATGGCTACAGTCAGCCAGAATCAGTCCAAGATTGGTCAAAGAGAAGGGAAAAGAGAAAAATATAGTTGCTGCAAGTAGAAAAGTTCCACCAAAAGCCAATATTCCTATCTCAATTTTCTTTGACCACTTTCCGACTGACTCCTATCTCTGACTCTGATTCTCTAACACTGATCTACTTACTGCTATTTCTATACTACGTTCTCTTATATTAACTATCGGTACTAGTGAGTGGAAATGCCAGCCAACTGACCTTGAAAGATTTGAAAGCATTTGTTGTAAGAACAAAATCTTAACACTTTCACGAGAATCTGACGAATCAACAACAACGTTCTTCATGCTTACGGTCACACAAGCAGTTTTAGAAACTACAGCTACATCATAGAGAATAATTTTTATCTTGCTGTTTTAGGCGAGGCAAGTGCTGGAAAAAGCAGCCTGATAAATCTCATTCTGGGAGAGAGGCTTCTTCCATCTTCCTCACTGAGCACAACTTCCACGTTGTGTGAATTGAAGTACGGCGAGGAAAGAAAAATTGTGGCGCACTTCAAAGACACAGATTCGAAAACAGGATTAACATCGACCATGTTTCTTGAGAATCCAACAGAATCTTCAGGGAAAAGCTATCTCCAGCAGATCTCACCTTTTGTCCAGGTGAAAGGTGCAGATCGTGGGAAAGGTTCAATTTACAAAAGGGTTGAAATCTTCTGGCCTCATCAATTGTTGAAGGTAAGTATTCAGTAAACGGTTAAATTTCTTTCGTAGATCAAAACATTGTCTGAGAAAATCAGTTGAGCTAGCTACTAATGCTGCTTCACAATTCTTTCCTGTTTAAAGTATGCCATAAGTTGATATGGAAAGTTGAACCACATTGACTGAACTAGAATGAAAATAACATGGATCCATGTCCAATCTTACTGTAAATAATAATTACTTTGAGCGAACAAGAACTCGGGTTAATGTCCTATAGCAGCTGAAAGTTTACCATCGTGAGCACCTAGACTATGCCAAAAAAGAGTAAGTCGAACAATCTAGATGATTATTGACTTTGGATGAATATTTGGCGCTAATTTCTGTGTTTTAGAAAGGTGTCACTATCATTGATAGTCCTGGGGTTGGAGAATCGGAAGTCATGGATAAAGTAGTGACAGAGTATCTTCCTCAAGCCTTTGGATTTATTTATGTCATTAACAGCACAAACGCTGGAGGGGTTCAGAAACACAGGGTAAGTAGCTGACATGGATGCGAGCAAAAAGTAGCTGTAAAGGTTTGCATCAAACCTTTAGACGTCGAGAATGCAAGTCTCTTAGTTAAAGAGATGACCCTTTTGAGGTGAGATAAAATTCCTCTATTTCAATCTCAATGTTCTAATTTTCCCCCAAACTACAATGCCGCGTATTTGGAGTAGGGCTTGAGGAAAAATTGAGCATCAACCGTTTGGCTCTTTTTTAATACCATAATTGCAACAATTGATTGGAATCTTACGTGGCAAGCACTTCATGATTTTGGAGACTTCCAATTTATTTGTAGAGAAAGAAAGTTTGAATTAAAGGAATTTAGATAAGTGCTGTAACGTTAAGCCATATAGGGAACTTTTATGCCTACTTTTGAAAAGAACCCTTGTTTAGTGGATTTCCTCTGGAGGTCTACTCTTTACTCTGGGTGTGTTATAAGAACTCTTGTTCATAAATAAACTTTTTGCGACCTTGACTTGCTGTTTTTCGTTGATACGAACACGTGTTAACATGGCGCGTTCACTGCTCTTCTTGAGCTCCCGTTTTATTTTAATTTTATTACTATGTTATAGCCTTAGTCCTATAAGTATATGGCAAAATCAAATTCCAAGTGGTGAATCTCTCTTTCTGTCACTAAAATTGGACAGTAGAGTTTTTCCAAGTCGCAATAACGGTCCTCGAAAGGCGAATGGTGCTGTACTGCCGCCATGTTTAAAGGCCAAAGCTTCTCTTTTCGTTTTGGAAGTTGGATTGTCTACTCTATTTCTACTTATGTTAGCTGGAGACGTCTCTACTAATCCAGGGCCACAAACTGTACGTCCTGGGAGCCAAGGTATTGGTGAAAACTCAAGCTTTGTTTCGCTTACAAGCGATGAAGAGTCAGCTAGCATGGACGATACTGTTGAGTTTCATAATGACTCAGATGATTCTTCGCAAAATGATTTATCGCCTGATGGCTTTGACTACTTTAACCTACATCTTGGTCATAAAGGCATACGCTTTGGTTCTTGGAATGTCAACAGGCTTACGACTACAAAACTAGAACAAATAAAATTGTTCCTTCTTAATGAAGATGGTCGACCACGTTTGGATATTTTATCAATCAATGAGACGTTTTTGAAACCGCTCCTCCCAGATTGTCTATACTCAGTCCCTGGTTTCACAGTGCACCGAAAGGATCGGATGGGCCTGAAAAATGGTGGTGGGGTTCTAATTTATGTGAATGACGATCTGAAACATCGAAGGAGAGTCGACATTGAGCATAATAATAATATAGAAGCATTGTGGTTGGAAGTCTTTCCATTCAAATCTAACCGTCCCATTTTATTCGCCGGCATTTACAGACCTCCTTCAACTAATTTATCAGAGGATGAGGCCATCGAAAATATGTTAGAATTAGTTTATCTATTAAATTTAGAAACCATCATTACTGGCGATATCAACATTAATTTTATTTCTCCGGCGTACAAGAAACATCCCTTGGGACGTGCCTTTTCTAACATGAATTTCAAACAGCTCATTACTGAAGTTACTCGACCATCAAGCGGAACCTGTCTTGACTTTGTATTGTCAAATTTTCCTGAAAGAATTAAGTCTATTGTCGTCAAAAACAATGGGCTGTCAGATCATTTGCCTGTATTTGGAGTTCGTTTATATGAGGATAACGCCAAGCGTCAAAATAAATCTTTAACGATTAAATATCGTAATACGAAGCATTTTGACAAATCCGCCTTCGTTTCCGACCTCAAAGAAGTTCCTTGGAATACTGCATTTGTCTTTGACGATTTAACTGATATCTTAAATGCATGGATGGGTCTCTTCATTAACATCTTGGATGCCCACTGTCCGTGGCGAGTAAAGAAAGTAGCCAAACAAAATCAAGCTCCATGGATGACTGTGAATATTTTACAAGCGCTTCGCAGAAGGGATTCTTTACTACGTAAAGCAAGGCAAAGTCGTTGTGTCACGGATTGGAACTGCTTCAAAATCGCGAGGAATAAAGTTGTAAACATGATTCGCAGTGCGAAATATAAATACTATAATACCTGTTTCAACAACAACAAGGGAAACTCTAAAAAGATGTGGAGAACCATAAAATCACTAATGGGCGATGTATCAAAATCAGTTGAGACGCCAAATGTTGTTTTGGCCGAAAAGTTTAATGATCACTTCACTTCAATTGCTGATTCACTGAGGAATCTACTACCTAATGTACCTTATTGCAATTCAAAGGTTGAAAACTTTGTTTGTTCAAGAAAAGATCCGGATGTTCTTTTCAATATTCCTCCTGTTACCAAAGATTTTGTGCTGGGTGCTCTGTTAGGACTTAAAACAAACAAAGCTATGGGTATTGACAAGATAAGTGCAAGATATCTGAAAATAGCAGGACCAGCTATTGCTTATTCAATTACTCAAATCTTGAATATTTCAATTAATTCTGGTGTATTCCCTGATTGTTGGAAGATAGCGAAAGTCATTCCGTTGTTTAAATCTGGGGACCGTGAGGATCCTGACAATTATCGACCCATTTCGATATTACCTGTTTTGTCAAAGATTCTGGAACGTCATATACACGATCATCTCTATAATTACTTATGTGAAAACAATCTATTGTACCCTTTACAGTCTGGTTTTCGGAAACACCATGGAACAGACACTGCTCTTATACGAGTCATAGACAATTTGTTATTTAATCTAGACAATGATCAAGTCAGCGGTCTTCTTTTAGTTGATTACAGGAAAGCTTTTGATATGGTTGACCGTGAAATTCTTTTGCAAAAGCTGAATGCCTATGGTTTAACTCCAGTTGCAAGTAAATGGTTTAGTTCATACTTGACTGATAGACATCAATTTATTGCTATTGATAATGTGACATCTGACTCTACTCTTGTGAGGCATGGTGTTCCACAGGGTAGTATCCTTGGCCCTTTACTTTTTGTCATTTATATCAATGATTTGCCTCTACATGTTAATGGTGCTGACCTGGATCTCTATGCTGATGACACCACACTGACATTATCGGCAGATATCTCAGCGGTTGATTCTCTACAAGATTCACTAGCTGCTTCTTTGAAGGAAATTGAATGCTGGACGCACACCAATAAACTTCCTCTCAATGAAAAAAAGACTAAAACACTACTGGTCACAGGCAAACGCCTTGGGAAGAAACTACCAGATGGTTATAATTTATCTCTTAAAACTATGAATGGTGTATCATTGGAACAAGTACCCTCAGCTAAACTTCTTGGTATAGACATTGACCACGATTTATCAATGAACACTTATGTTGACAGACTGTGTAAAAAAATTTCACAAAGAATTGGAATTTTGAATAAGATCAAACTTTGTTTACCATTTAACCAAAGACTTTTATTTTATAATAGTTTAATTAAGCCATTATTTGATTATGCCAATGTTGCATGGCAGTCACTTTGCTCTAATGAATCTCTTTTAAGAATACTTAGGCTACAAAAGAGAGCTGCTAGGGTTTTATTAGATGCTGAACCACGTAGTTCATCAGTTATGCTATTCAATCGTTTAAAGTGGATACCATTTTATGACTCTACTAAGATGGCTAAATGTTCAATACTATTTAAAAGGATTAATTATTGTGTACCTAATTATCTTAATGATAGCTTAAGATTATTAAGTTCAGTACATTCACGCAACACTAGATTTTGTAAATACAACTTTTTATTACCTAAGTTTAAAAGGGCTAGAGAAGGAGGGAAAACTTTTCTAGTTTCTGCCATAAAATTATGGAATCAGTTAAAGCCTGAATTAAAAAAGTCTAATACACTTAAGGCCTTTAAAGACAACGTATTTAAATATTACTATAAGGACCAATCATGCTTAGCTCATTTTAATCCGTAAATTTTATTGATAGTAGTTTTATATATTCTTACTTGTTTTAGCTAATTTTCTATTTATATTTCATTCTATTAATGATTCTATTGTATTTATATATTTATTGTAATTAGGAGGACCACAAGTTTATTAGTGTTTGTGCACTATCACGTGCTATCCTCAATAAATAAAGTCTTTCTTCTTCTTCTTCTAGCAGAATTGGCAGTAATGTCGCAATCTGATAGGCAAGTTTGCTGTTGTTGATAGGAGTGCAGAACAAGCGAAACTGCTGTCTATTTGTTAACTCTGTCTTTATGTACATACTCTGCTGCATGTTGTTTCAACATGATGATTATTGATGTGAAAGATGAATGATGAATGAGCATGCATGATATTTCAACATGATGCCAACAAAGCATCTTTCGCCCTTCACCATGTTCATAAGTGACAATTTCCTTTGACAGAAAATTAGATCACCCTCATATTGTCAAGTTTTTTGGGACTGCACTCTTGAAAAAAGAGGATGAGGTAAGGGTGATCTTTGTGATGGAAAGGTGCACAGAAAGCCCCAAAGGTCACATCTTCAAGCACCGAGAATCCGTCCCGGGTATATCTGGAAAAACAGCAGACCTTAGAGTTTGTCGTTGGGCGAAAGAAATCACCGCTGGTCTTCACTTTATGCACGAAGTAGGCATTATTCACAGAGACCTCAAGCTAGAAAACATCTTGGTACGTACTTACAGCGATCTTGATATTTTGGCAGCATCTTGCCAGTCCTTGTAAGTCAATAGAGTTGATTATTCAAGTATCACACTGCCTTCAGATTCGACAACTGTATTTTCTGCTTTTTTTATCATTGTTTTAATTTCGATCGTGGGCATCCAAACTGCTAAGATTTCTGCACACATCTCTAAACCAATTGAATCACAGCTGAAAATCTTCGCTCTTGGGTGACACTGAACCCGTTACCCGCATAATACTACCAGTATGTATTCAAGATACCGTGATCCACATCGTAAGTCAGCGGAAAACGACCATTCCCTGCTATTATTATTATCATTAAAAAGGAGACTAAAACAGACACGCATGATAGCAATATGGTAACAGAAAGGAGAAGATGAAAAATAGTTGAGAATGGTAGTGACTGAAGCGTTAAGAAATGTGATTGTCAAACAGTTTGGTACAAGCGAGGTACAAGCCATTTTTTCAGTGCGTTAAGTTTTCGTCTTCGTAAAATCAAGAACAGAAACTTCTCTCTATTACGAATGCGGGAAAACATCTAAAGACTACCAATCCAATAATAAATATACTTCTCTTTATTTTTATTTAAGCTGACGGAGGATGATTCCGTGAGAATAAGTGATGTCGGCGTTTCTAAAGAAGCAAGTGAAATCACCGGTACTGTTACGGGATCTTTTTTGTACATGGCTCCTGAAGTGTTCCATTCCAACCTTTATGACTTCAAAGCAGACATCTACAGTTTTGGAATAATGCTTTGGGAGATGTGGTTTGGACAACGAGCATTTGCCGAAGTTGATGCGCTAAATAGCCAACATTTCTTTAGCTTGGTTGATCATGGGCGTCGTCCAAAAGATATTATGGAATTGAAGAAGCCTCCACGCCGCTGGAAAGAACTTATGGAGAGATGCTGGGATGGAGACCCAGATAAACGTCCCACAGCCGAGAGTTGTGAGCGAGAAATAACTGAACTCTGCAATGAATGGCCTGGTCATTAGGAAGAACCATATTCCAAATTATACATGAGGGTTACCGTCATTAATTGTACATATACTTTGTTTATATCACAAGCAAGCAGACAAGTTTATTTGGCATTTTCATACATCCGTTTTATCGTTTTTAAATTTCACAACAAAGACTTCGAGCTACCAGGATCATTCGTATGACTTAAACACAATATTGTTACGATTTTTGGCCTGCAAATTAATTTTTGCAGTCTCATCCCCTTTAGCTCGAACGCCTGCTTAACTAAGCTCGAGTTTTGTTCCTCGTCGCTGAATCAAGCAAAAAAGTTTGAGGCATGGCTGCACACTACACAACAGTAATGGTACGGGCGGTTAGCCTTCTGTGACATGCGCTCACAATCTATGAAGAACACGGTAGTCCTATAGATGAAAGGCATTATCCAAAGGAGTCACAAAGCTTCAAAATTCCCCAAAATGCGGGACTTTACGTTTAGAAATATGCTGGAAGGAGTGCCCAACCATAGACGCGTCGCGCGAATATTCGATAGTAGCCAAATACTTAAAGTTTATTGGCTATCCAAAAAGGAAAGAAAATGTTTACCAAAACAAGAATAATTAGACACTCATCGTGTACTCGTTCAATCAACATTTTAAGTGTTTTGATCTAGTACCTTGTTCATTAAATGTTTTGAGTTTCTTTACATGGCCACAAGATTATTACGGAACATTATATCAGTCTACATTGAGCCCTTTTCCAATTTCTTTTGCATGGATTTAGCAGAAGTTTTATAGAGCAAAGTTTATAGGCTTTATAAAATAAAGTTATAATATCCAAGACATGTTCCGTATACAAACAAAGAGCTTCCTTAATGATTTTAAAAATGTTAATTGTTTTACTAAAAATCAACACATAAAGAGGCGACAAACTTAGATAGAATCACAGTTAAAAAACTGCCTGTCTCTGCTAAGTTCTCGTCGTGTGGTTGTCAGAGGGATTTTTATTGATCAGCAGATTACACGAAAATTAGAATTATTCCATTTCTTCAAAGTCGAAAATCTAGTCAAGGTCAGGAATGTTTAATTGACGTATATCCTTCACTATCATATCACCGACTGAAAATTTGTCTAACCGTTTTTAATACCGTATCGGGAATCTTTGTCGTAATGGTATGCAGCAAGCACGCTGTTCTTTAAGATCGCGAATATTCAATCACTCTCACCCTTAGGTTTAACTAACAAGGAATATCATGAATGACTGACACACTTGATTAGGTTAAAATAGAGTGTAACAGGGTAGGATGCCATTACTCGTGTGATTTTCATTCAATGATGAGAAATGAAAGGCTTAATTTCTGGTTAGCCAAAATTTCCGCCATTTTTGACTTAAAATCCGCGAGGCTTCTTCTTCGTACTACATTTCCTAAGATAAGATCCCGACGCAACAGATCTCTGATGAGGCATTTTAGGTTTAATTTTGCACAGCATCTGTCGGAAGGTGGAGAAATGCACCACAGCATGCTTGATGGTCAGCTCCCTCTTGAGGGAAATAGTGCTCAGCTTAACATTGCGGGGATTGAAACTATCAGTCTTTAGGAACATAACAGAAACGCCTTGGCATTTCAAATTGTTGCTTGCTAGACCTTCCACCTTTGGACTTTTTTGGCAAGGCGAGGGTATTCGATGCCATCAAACTTTATTTTAATGAGTTTACATAATTCAAATCCACTTTTCTCTTTATTAGTAAAGCATTCACTGGGTGTCACTGGTTTTCGCTTTTTTTTTTTTTAAACAGCTACAGAATCATGATGGAATGCGGGGAGACTGACCCTTCAAGTAGAGAGAGTGTTAATAGATCCATGAGTACGCTAACTACACCAAAACTACACCAAATACAGCGAACTACACTTACTATACCCATTGCATTTACTTCACCTACAACACCTCCTACACCATGCCAAATACACCAAACTACACCTATTACATCGAATTCCAACTACTCTAAGAAACTATACCAAACTACTCCAACTACACCTGCTTCTGGATTGTATTAAAGAATAAGCGTTCATTTCTTCCTAGATAGTGAATAACCTTGTTCTATATACGTGACAGCAATCATGGATCTATTACCGATTGGGGAAATACCAGATTTTTAGTGTCTACGGTCATGAATATACAGCATGACAGGCTAAAAGAACAGGTTAGGACTGGAATGTATGTTTAAAGAGATAAGACCCATAAATATGTCAAATAACTCGTTACTTCTTAATGTTTAAAACAAAAACCAATTTTCAGTTCTCTCAAAGACTCACGGCATATTTGACAATATCATGGCTTCCTGCAAGAAGTGTGACTGTATTTGCTTTAAATTCTTGCTTTCTTTAACAAATAGAGAAGCCTTGACTGTGCTCTGTTCTGTTATAAAGCACGCAGGAAGCGGCTAGAGCACGAAAGAAGTGTAGGGAGAAACACGAGACGTAGTCGAGTGTTTCTTCCCACTTCTTGAGTGCTCTAGCCGCTTCATAATGTGAGTTCTCGATGGACTCTAATTGGTTGCAGTTTGTCCTTACAAATGCAAATTTACTCAAAATTGCCTGCAATAGCGAGTGGAACTAAACTGCCCATCAAATTTAGAAGCAAACAACAAACAATAGAGTTCCGAGCAATCCCGATCGCTTGTTACGATCAAATGATCATTTGGTAGTCAACCATGTATCTTATTTGCGCCTGACAGCTGCACTGAATCTCGATTAAATGCCAGCGGTCTTTCCCAGAAACGCCTTTGTGGTCTTCAGAATTAATATTATGAACGGTTTCAATACAGTTTAAGCCTATTTCCAGACCTAAATGGGCAGAAGCGGTTAGTTTTACTTGTTCTCGAACGTCACACACAATTTCTGTCTTTGCTACTGCCATGTTTCATTCTATCTTATCCAGAGCTGATCAATCATTCGCACGATACTTGCTTTAAATGAGGACAATGCGATTACGAACTGAATTCTTAGCGCGCTCTCCCACTCATGTTTGGAAGTTTCTGAAAGCCGTTAAAACTTAATTTTTCTTTTCCATCAATGCACGAATGAACGTGTCAGCTTAATGCATGTTGTCAGCGACAATTATTCGAGCGTTTATGCCGCGTCACTTTTTAGACGCTTCCATTGTGTCACCTGGTTTTCATGACATCTGAAATTAAACAGTTGGCTGCTAATTCAAAGACCCATATTTGTTGAAATTACTGAAAAATATAATTATATAAATGTATTATAGAAATGTACGTCTTCATATATTTGTATTGATTAGTAAAAGAAATCAATATAAGTATTACCATCATTTTTATGTCTGCTTTTGATTATTGTTTACTGCCATGTTGGTTGTTCTTCAGTAGCACACTCAGCAATGTTGAAGAGCACTACAGAGTCAAGCGACAAGAAACATTTAAAGAGTTACACAGATATTACATAGTTGGACCCCACATAAAACTAGGCCAGCAAAAATAACTAATTCATTTCATTATTTGCCGGTGGTTCGCATGATTGACAGTCTGGCTTAGGGGTGATAATATCTAAAAACGACAGATGCATAGCTGCCACGCAAAGGAGTCACTTATCCTAGAAAAACTGTAACGCTGACACAATTTTTTGGAAAAAAAATATTAAAAAATGTATGTATATTTTATACATTTGACATTTCCGAATTGAGTAATGTACGTCCACAAGTGACAGCGACGCTTGCCAAATGTAGTTTACATAAATGAAACGATTTATTTACCTATTATAATTTTACTCAATGCGCCATAATTTTTTTTTTCCTGTGGAAAGCTTTGGAGAAGACTCCATCGAATTTTAAGTACATTAACGGAAAGTTGTTCCCGTAACATTACCCTGTTAGAGTAGAGTGGAGTATTTTTTTTAACCTCCTCCTAGGAAGCTATCCGTGAGTTAATTACAACACTTTGCCGGGGACTTTGGCTGGACTGCGTTTAGGAGTTTGCAGTTTTTGGAAGGTTTTGTTGCAAGTGCCCCCGATTTCGGAATCAGGGCCAGGCCACAACGGCGTGAGCTACGTTCTCTTCTCTTTACAAAAAGTGCGTGGGTTGTTTAACGTCCCTTGCTGATCAGTTATGGCAACTCGGGGCTGAGATGCTGCCACATGGAACCCTCCAGCATCTGAGATGGCTGCCTAAGCTAAAGTACTTTTATCATATGACCGTACGGCACTGCGCGCACAATTCCAGGTCCGGAAAAAGCCGTCCCGGCCCTGGAGTCACACAGCTTTGCTGCAAAAACTTAAAGGAAAAATAAAAAAAAAATTAAAAAGTCGCGTTTCTCTTTGAAGTAGATGCCTTTATAGGTCTGACTCGGGAAAACAAGGGATAAGTTTCTTTTGAAGAAATGTTTTCTTGCGGTTTTCCCGTGTGCGCCCGTCTATAGCGTCCTATTTGGGTTTAAAAAATTCGAAATCCTCAACACTTTGTGGTCATATAATAAAATGATTATTGACTGAGTTTATTTGAGCCAAAGGGGAAGATATTTGGCATTCGGTCATGGCGCACGGACGTCGCTGTGCTTGGTCCTTACGTCATGATCTCAACCCAAATATTTTCCGTCCGACCCTCCCACTCAGTCAATAAGTACATATTTTTGCATGTTGGAACTTGCTGTCCCATTGAAAAAAATATAAGCCCTTTCCCATATTTTACACTTTCCAAGCCCTCATCCAAACAGATTTAAAGGAAAAGTTGTTCAAAGCTTTGATGCTAGCCGTGCTGTGCTTCTTTATATTTTTGGAAAGAGTCTCGAATTTTTGCAACGGTGGCGTAGCACTCTCTCAAGATTAGCCTGATTCGAGTACGGTCTCAAAGGCTAGGTTAATAAACGCATTGATGTAAAAGCCTGCGTTATCAGATCGTCAGAAAGCTTTAGAAGGGTTAGGTTCATTGGAATTTCAAGCAACAAGCGTCCAGGATGGATGCCACGACAGACCACTTTTGCGTACATTTATCAAAGAAGGGGGTGTAGCTTCTTGTCTGGGAAAAGAAAGACAAGTATCCCGTGAGCAACACCACCTTTAAGCTTATTGCCACTATAGAGGTAAAAATCAAACAAACTAAATGACTATTTATCAAAACCTTATGAAACTAAATTAAATCTTTTTTCGTTTCATTATGCACATTGCTGAAATACTTTCACTTTTAAAATCCTGAAGAATTTTCCCGATCAAATAGCCTATAAGAGGGAAGACCACTTCTCGATTTATTCTAGCTAATCTCTATTGTTCAATGTATGTTGTCACCAGATAATGACTATTGGCCATTGGTTTCTTTTATTACATGTCCTTTTAAGCAAGTGAAATGTGCACTAATCATCCTGAGTCTATCGACATATCTTAAACTTTGCCCTGCAACGTTTTGAGAATTACCATTTCGTACTTAGAACTCTACCACAACTTCGCCATCCGCGTGCTTTTTGAGAGCGAGAAAAATGTGCCATGACCTGCCCTTTATCCCAAACTATTTTCTCTGTGTATTCCAGCAACAAGCTTAGGGGAATTTCTTGGCCCACTTCATAATTATAAGCACTTGATTGTTGGCCAGGTTTTTAATAACAGTGCAAACAACAGTGCAAACATGCTGTTTGCATGATCACTGCGGACCGGATCATTGGTCGCTCATATTGCTTTCCTTGAAGTGAGAGTGCAATGACTCCTTTCAGTATAATACAACCCGTACCGAAGATTCAAGCGGTTAAATAAGATAAGAACATAAAATTTGAAATCATCATGCCCGCAATGACGAATGGTTGCTTAATAACTCGCTCCACAATACTATATCTCTTACTCATTTCTGCTCAACTTTGCTATCGTTCCAATGGGAAAAGCCTTCATAACAGCAAACCGGTTTTTTGCCCAAAATTCAGACTTACCTGGCCGGTCTACAACACGAGGTTTCTACACGATCCTTGCTTAACTAGCTCGTCCATCCGCCATCTTGGCAGAACTATCACCGTAAAAGGTTATTACAATAGACGCCTGAACTACTATCCTAATTCTTCGAGCTCCTACCAAGCTATACGAATACGTGTATCCAGAGACGTCTCCTTGAATCCTGGTCCCGATAAATGTATTACTTGCAACAGGACTGTGGCGACAAACCACAGAGCGGTTAGCTGTGACTCATGCAATGGATGGACTCACATAAAGTGCGGGAACATTAAGCCTAATCAGTATAAAGCTATGCAATTGATGGATAACTTTGAATGGTTTTGCCAACCCTGTCTGGACGCTAGATTATCAAACAATGTTCCAGATAACACTGGTGATTGTGTACAACACAAAGACGACTACCTCGAAAGGTTTGCTGCCTCTTTGAATACTTCGCACAACGATCTACGCATCGCGCATCTCAATGTATGCAGTCTTCGAAATAAAATAGAAGATATTCGTCTTCTACAGAAAATTTGCAGATTTGATGTCCTAGCAATCGGCGAAAGCCATTTAAACGCCTCAATACCTGATAATGTACTACAAATTCCTGGTCTTAAATTCATACGTTGTGATAGATCTCAACGTAAAGGCGGCGGCGTGATCATGTATTATGCTGAACATTTATCCGTTACTCATCGCAGAGATTTGGCAGCCTCAGACATTGAAGCTCTCTGGATACAGGTTAAATTTCCTACAAACACTACTCTGTTCTCCGTAATCTATAGGTCTGAGCTAGAGTCCACGAATTTCTTCGAAAGCTTTCGTGGAGCCCTCGAAAAAGCTTGGCTTAAAACTGACAGCATCTTTATACTTGGCGATTTTAACTGTTGTTTATTAAATAGGGACCCTGACGGCATACCTACTTTGGGCAAAACGAAGAAGCTGATAGAGACCTTTGAAGACTTCAATATGCAAAACATTATCTCTCAACCAACTAGAATAATATCCACAACGGAGTCCCTAATTGACCTTATTGTTACAACTAAAGCAAACATGGTTCGTCAATGCGGCGTGCTGCCATTGGGCATATCTGATCACAGTTTAGTTTACGCCACTTTGAAGTTGAAATCCAAAAGACCCCCTCCGAAGATTGTCCGCTCAAGAAACTTCAAGAGATGTAACATTCAAGATTTCAAGAAAGATATCGAACGAATACCTTTTCACGTACTGGATATATTCGAAGACAAAGACGACGTCCTTTGGGGCTGGAATCTTTTGTTCAACGATGTTTGTGATGTCCATGCCCCTTATAAAGACGTCAAGGTTCGCAGCGTCTGTTCACCATGGATTAACAGCGAAATAAGATTAAAGATGAACAAACGGTTTAAATTATTCAAAGTAGCCACTCGCACAAAAGATCCGGTCAAATGGAAGGAATACAAAAGATTACGTAATGAAATCACCACGGACGTACGTCGGGCGAAAACTAAACATTTCAAGAACCAACTACTTGAAATAAAAACCGCTGCGGAGTATTGGAATCTTCTTCGCAATGCCACTGCACCAAAACTCAGAAAGGCTATTGGACCCTTGAAGAGGGAAGACGGTTCTCTGGCAGTCGATAGTAAAGAAAAATCAAATCTGATGAATTCTTTCTTTTCTAATATAGGAATTAATCTAACAAGGAACTTTTCATTCACAAAAGTCAACGCTGCCACAACATTAAAGTCAGTTCCTGTTATCAAAGACGTTATTTTATCAAAATCCGAAATTGAATAGTATTTATCAGATCTTAAATGGAATAAAGCTACCGGTCCCGACCAGATTTCTTCTAGAACTCTAAAAACTGCCGGGAATGCGTTGGTCCATCCATTATACCATATTTATTGTGAAAGTCTAAGATCTGGCTACGTGTTTGAACAATGGAAAGTGGCTAGGCTGAGCCCTATCCACAAAAAGGACGATGAGAGCGACATGAGCAACTATCGGCCAATTTCTATTCTCAGTATACCCAGCAAGATCCTTGAATCAACGGTCTCTCAGAGAATCGTCAACCATACATTCCACGAGCACAGTTTAGTCACTGAAAACCAATGGGCTTATAGGAAAGGCTTTTCTACTGAATTAATGCTTATAAAACTGACAGAACAATGGAGACAAGCGGTTGATAACAGTAAAGTTGTCGGCGTGGTTTTTGTCGATTTTCAAAAGGCCTTTGACTGTGTATCGCATAAAATATTGCTGCATAAACTCGAGATTGACTTTGGGATCAAGGGCAACCTGGCTGCTTGGCTTCACAGCTACTTAAAGGGGAGGCGACAGTTCACAGTCATTGACGGCGCAGCCTCTGATTTTGCTCGCATTAATACAGGCGTTCCTCAGGGATCAGTCCTCGGTCCAACCTTGTTCGCACTTTACACAAATGATCTACCTGATAATATAACAAATGCAACTGTTTTTATGTACGCAGACGATACCACCCTGTTCTGTATCGGAGACACCGTAGACATTGTTATTGCCGAACTGAATGCTGCTCTCAAGGAACTAGAGCTGTGGTGCTTAAGAAATCAACTATTGCCTCACCCCAAGAAATGCGAAGGCATGCTAATTCATCGAGGAAACTTCACTGGTCCACTACAGTCATTAATACTGATGAATCATTGTATAAGATGGGTTAAACACACCAGGCTGCTTGGAGTCTATATTGATAATAGACTTAACTGGGACTACCATGTCAAAGCACTAAAGATCAGCTTTGCAAATAAGCTTAACATGCTGAAGCGCAGCTTGTTCTTACCAAGACCCATGCTACTGGACTTATACTTTAAAGTAATCTACCCATCAATTATATATGGTATCACCGTCTGGGGCGGCCTTACTAATAAGGAGGGCCTAATTGCATTAGAGTCTTTACACTGTAGAGCGGCAAAATTAATTTTTAACTGGCCATGGGATATGCCTAAGTCTGACGTACTAAGCAAAGCTCGATGGTCTTCTATTGAAACCACATATAAAGTTAATTTAGCTAAACTGATGTTCAAAATAGATAAGAAGACTTTACCTATATCCATCTTAGATACCACCGAAGAAGTTGACGTGAATACTAAGAAAAATCTAAGAAGTAATGCCAACATAAAAGTACCAAAATTCAATACATATTACATGAAAAACAGTTTTTCCAGAAGAGGACCTATCGTTTTTAACACACTTCTCCAAGAATCAAATTTAAGAAATATAACCATTAAGCAGCTCTCCTCGTTAGCCTACAAATCAAAGGCACTTTTAAATTTGAACTTTAATTCCATTTCTCCACAGACAGTGAATTTTAAGGACCCCAATTTTAAATATTTTTAGATCTTCCAATTTTGATAGGCTACTTTAATTATTGTATTTTACTACATTTCATTTTATTCCATTTTACGCACGACCCCACAAGCGTGTAGTCGCTTTAACAATTATCGTGTTTAAATAAAGTCTTTGTATTGTATTGTTGTATTGCAGCGTCTTAAAGGGGTGCTCTGAGGATGAGCGCTAGGCCGGCATTCAAGCATTGAACGGCTTTTCCTACCGTACAATGTGGGCAAGTTCTGCATGCGGTGCGTAAAAGTTTACCAGGAATTCAAAAGTCTTGAGAAACGTCTTGACGTTGGGCGCCACTTAACCAAGCAAATTGGGAAGAAACCTTTAAAATTATGTGCTAGGTGCAGCCATTGGTGGTGCTCCGTCAACGAATTCATAATCTCTAGCAATAAAAGAATCGACTGCAACACCAGCCAACAGTCCATCTTTGGAGGGGGTTAAGCTTAGAAGAAGTAGGAGTCTATCGAATTTTGTCAACGAGTGCGGTCATTTTTGCAAAAGATTTTCTTACAAGGAGACGAAACCGGTGACAAGGCAAATCCTGCTGATGTTGCATCTAAAATGAAGCATCTAAGATAAGTAGATGGAGACGAATTGTTCACCAAGGAGGAATGACTTTCAGCTATCCAAATTGCCAGATATTTCAGCAAGCTATCAGCACTTAATAAGGCCGATCTTTTGAATCGAGTTGTAAAGAACCTCCTTGGAGGATGAATTTACGATCAATACGTACAAAATGCAAGCAGTGGAGACAAGATTTCAAATAAATACTCAGTTCGGTTATTCATAACGTAGAATATATACATACATTTATGAATCATTTTTTTCAATAGCTTGTGTCAGCGCTACAGAACTTCTATGATAAGTGACTCCTTTGCTCGGCAGCTATTCATCTGTTGTTTTAAGATATTAGTATCACAAAAACCAGCGTCGGCGATCCCACTCTCAAATTGAAATTGAGTGAATGAACATCAGTTAATGACAAACAATTAACGTCCGAGGTCACGTAATTCAGAGGGACGTGGTCACGAACCTTTTATGGGGGCCAAAAGTAATTTAGTACACAAACGTAGTGTTAAGATAGGTCTTTCCTGTGATGGTATTTTTGTTGACATACAAGGCTGCCCATTGGAGATATTTGCATTTAAATAACCCTAATTTTTTCTTTTCTGGAATAGTTTCGTGACACAGTTCATGATCCACAGCTCTTAATTGGCAGAGGTTATATCAAAGTACCCCAAATTTAAGGAATTGTTTCCTTAAGGTTCAAACAAGCATTGCACATAATAATAGTAAAATCCATGGCATTCTGTTACTGTGAGAGAAGTTCGTTGGAAGTGCATTTTTCGAGTTAATTTAGCATTTTACCCCAGGGTTTTGATGTGGGGGCTCTAATACCCCAGGGATGAGTCGGGAGCCTGAACCAGTCTGGATTCTTGAAAAACTTAGTGACCCTCATAAACTGTGAAAGTTTGAAAGAAATCGGTGAAATGGCATGTGTCACGCCTGCCCGGTGCTCTCGTCGACAGACTCCTAAATGTTAAAAGTATCAGGTTCGGGGGACCTTCTTCAATTAACATTTCAAACACCTACCTTTTTGTTTTTCCCTAGAGTACTAGTCTATTTGGGGGGAAGGGTGGGGGTTGTCAAGAGTCCAGTGTCTAAAGCTCATGAGTGGGGAGAGTGGGTTTTGAGTAAACGCAAAAGAAACCAGCCCTGTCTTTCATGACAATCTGCAAAAGTGAGTTTCATTTTAAAGTTCCTCGCTGAAAAAGGTAAGCCTCAGAAGCGTAAAAAATTTAAAGTTTGGACCATTCAGCTAGTACATTTTTTTTATTCTATCTGTTGCTTTTTTTCTACAGCGTTGTATCTTTTCGTACACTATTTTACTCAACAGAATTAACTTAGCGTCTCTAGACATCAGACTCCTTCAGAATCTCTTATCACTGTTCCGTACTACATAAGAAATATGTTTGTGGTCTACACCTTATAGCTCAAGAATTAATTTAAATGAACGACTCTAAAAGCGAGAACTTCAAAGTGTGATAAACAAAGATACAAATTGCAATTGGTGTCGCTTATTCTCACTAGCTGATCGTTTTAGATAATCTAAAACTAAATTTTTCAAACTTACTCATTGGAAATTTAATTGAACTAAAGTAATTACTGAGAGCAGAAAATAAAGATAAAAAAATTCTTCGCCCTAATGTGGTGGGAAGGATAAACTACCTCCTGAGATTTTATAACTTTCCCAATGGCGATTGCAATAGAGTTTCTTCGGATACTAGCATGCGTTAGGAAAACAAAGGGCATGTACCACCCTTTCCCCGCAAGGTGACAACAAGAAAAAGTTATAAAACACACAGTTGCTTTGCATCCCACTTAAAGGATCGAAAGCTCCTGAAGTTTAATTGAATAACCTCACTACTGCATCATAAGAAACTTTCGTGACAGAAAGGAAAAACCTTCTTTGTACCACAGTTTCCACTCCTGACATCCGAAACTTGAAAAGTAGGTATTGGTAAGGTTAATGGATCTGACAAGTTCGGGAAAAGCTATGAAGTAACTACTAATTTTATGGACTTGCCCAACATGGTGCGAAAAAAAGTCCCGATCAAAGAAGCAATTAAAAATGGTTTAAAACACAAATGAAACAAAAAAAGGGAAAAAATTCAATGTAGAAGAAAGGAAGGCCACAAACCAAAATTAAGAGACTGTTTTTGTTTAAAAGATTATGTCTATTATTCGATACAAACGATAGGACTGTAACTTCCCTAGTTTATAGTTAACTTCAGGGTTTGAGGCTAACCAGCCCAATCTGAGTTGCTTTCAATGCTTTCTTGAATTTTAAGTCTATTTTTACACCGAGTTGAAGCATCTTGTTTTTTTTCCAGGATAGGCTCTATCTTTGACTAGCTAAAATTCCCATAATAGTTGACTTACAATCTGCGAGGCTTTTTCTTTCTGAGGCCGTCTTTTCCCAGCAACCAGAAATGAGAGTAGCCCACCGATTTGATGTCGGAGTTGTGAGACCTCCAAGATCGGGACGATGGCCTCCTTCTACAACTGATAAAAATTCTTTCATCTTCTTTCCTTTTAAATCATCAAAGGCTTCTTTGCCGTACCACATTTCCCAGAACAAGATCCCGAGGGAGTAAATCTCTGAAGAGGCATTGTAATTTCTATTTCGCACAGCTTCTGGCGCAAGATGAAGAAATGCATCACACTTTGATCCATGCTCGATGGTCAGCTGCCTCCTGAGGGAGATGTTGCTCAGCTTAATATCACGGACATTGGGACCGTCAAGCTATGTAAAATAATACCAAAAAAATGATTTAAATTGATGATAAAAAGAAACTCAATAAATAGTGGTTTTGTCTTGGTGGACTAGCATTTTTAAAGAATACACTGGATCTCAC